ACATGAACTCACAACCCTGAGATCAAGAGTTGCATGCTCTACTGACTGAGCCAGACAGGTGCCCCTCTTTTCACTTTCTTGATAGTATCTTGATAGTACCCTTCATCCACAAGATTTTATTTTGATGAAGTCCAATTTATCTATTTTTTCTTGTTGCTTGTGCTTTGGGTGTCATATCTAAAAGACCATAACCTAATCAAAGGTCATAAAGGTTTACTCCTATGTTTTCTTTTCTAGGAGTTTTATAGTTTTAGCTCTTACATTTAGGTTGTTAATCTATTTTGAGATAATTTTTGTATGTAGAGTGAGGGAAGCGTTCCACTTCATTCTTTTACATGTGGATATCCAGTTTCTTGGCATCATTTGTTGAAAAGACTGCTTTTCTCCATTGAGTGATCTTGGCACCCTTGTCAAGAATCAGTTGACCATAAATGTATGGTTTAATTTCTGGACTGTCAATTCTATTCCATCTATCTATATGTCTGTCCTTATGCCAGTAACACAGTATTCTGATTACTCTATCTTGGTACTACCTTTTCAAATTACAAGTCGAAGTCTTCCAGTTTTGTTTTTTTTTTTTCAAGATTGTTTTGGCTATTCAGAGTCCCATGCAATTCCATCTGAATTTTGAGAATAGTTTGTTCACTTTTGTGAAAAAAGGATGCTTGAATTTTGATTGGTATTTCACTGAATCAGTAGATCGATTTTGGGAATGTTGCCCTCTTAACAGTATTAAGTCTTCCTATTCATGAGCATAGGATATCTTTACATTCATTTCCATTATTTAGGTATTCTTTAGTATCTTTCAACAATGTTTTGTAGAAGTCAGTGTACAAGTCTTACTCCTTCTTGGTTAAATGTATTCTTAAGTATTTTATATTCTTTTTGATGCTACTATAAATGGAATTATCTTGATTTCATTTTTGGATTGTTCATTGCTAGTGTATATAAATACAACTGATTTTTGTTTGGTGATCTTGTATCCTACAACTTTGCTGAATTCATTTGTTAGGCCTAATATTTTTTGTGGGGGTGGGGGTTGGTGTATTCTTTAGAGTTTTCTGTATATAAGTTCATATCATCTCTGAATAGAGAAATTCTAACTTCTTCCTTTCCAATTTGGATGCATTTTATTGCTTTTTCTTGCCTAAATGCCCTGGTTAGAATTTCTAGTACATTGCTGAATATAAATGGCAAGAGTGAACATCTTTGTCTCATTCTGTATCTTAGGGGGTTAACATTAGGTATGATGTTAGGTATAGGATTTTTGTAGATACCTTTTATCAAGTTGAGGAACTTTTCTTCTGTTTCTAGATTGATAAGTGTTTTTATCACTAAATGGTGTTGGAAATTGTCAAATTTTTTTTTCTGCCTCAATTGAGATGACCATGTGGAGTTTTTTTCCCCTTTATTCTATTGGTGTGGTGTATTACATATGTTGATTTTTGTATGTGAACTACCTTTGCAGTCTTGGGATAAACTCCACTTGACCGTATTGTATAACCCGTTTTATATGTAGCTTGATTCAGTTTACTAGTATTTTGTTAAGGATTTTTGCATCTATATTCATAAGGGATATGAACTTTACTGGTGATGTTTTTTGGCTTTTGTGTTAGGGTATTGCTGGCCTAATAGAATAAGTTACGATATGTTTCCTCCTCTTCTATTTTTTGAAGAATTTGGAAGGATTGATGTTAATACTTCTTTAAATATTTGGCAGAATTCATCAGTGAAGCCATCTGGTCATGGGCTTTCTATATTGGACATTTTTGGAATACTGGTTCGATATCCTATTATAGGTATATTTGCATTTTCTATTTCTTCTTTGGGTCAGTTTTATTAGTTTGTGTGTTTTTAAGAATTTGTCCATTTTATCTATGTTATTCAATTTGTTGGCATACAACTGTCCTTAGTTTCCTGTTTGTCAATTTTTTTGATTTTACAAAGAACCGACTTTTGGTTTCATTGATTTTCTCTACTGTGTTTCTGTTTTCTATCTTATTTGTCTCCACTTTCATCTTTATTATTTTCTTTCTTTTTGTTTTGGTTTTGATTTGTTCCTCTTTTTTGGTTCTTTAAGGTTGAACCTTAGGCTATATTGATTTAAGATTTTTCTTCTTTTTAAACTAGGCATTTACATCTAAAATTTTGCTCTGAGAACTCTCTCATAAGTTTTGGTATATTGTGTTTTCATTTTGCTCATCTCAAAGTATATTCTAATTTCCCTTGTGATTTCTTTTTTGACTCAATGTGTAAGAGTAAGTTATTTAATTTTCATATATTTGTTAATTTTCCAGATTTCCTTCTATTATTGATTTCTAATTTGATTTCATTGTGGCTAGAGAAAATATTCGTATGACTTTAATCTTTTTAAAACTTACTGAGTTTTTTACCCAATATGTGGTCTACTCTGGAGAACGTCCTATGTGTTCTTGACAAAAATGTGTATTCTGTTAGTGAATAGAGTGTTCTATATGTCTGTTAGGCCTAGTTGGTTTATAATTCTCAAACTTTCTATTTCTTTATGGATCTTCCATCTAATTGTTCTATCATTAATGAAAGTGGGGTACTGAGATCTCCAACTATTATTGCTGAACTATTCATTTCTCCCTTCAATTCTGTCAGTTTTTGTTTCATATATTTGGGGGCTCTCTTGTTGGGTACATATTTGTTTATTATTGTTATATCTTCTCAATGAATTTATCATCTTATAGTTACATAATGTCCTCTTTTGTCTGTTGTAACAACTTTTGTCTTAAAATCTATTTTGTCTCAGAATAGCCACTCCAGTTCTCTTCTGACTACTATTTGCATGGAATATCTTTTTCTACCCTTTTAATTTTAATGTATTTGTGTCCTTGACTCTAAAATGCATCTTTTATAGACAGCATTCAATTCATTCATTGAGTAGTTTTTGAATACTTACTTTGTGTAAGGAATTAGGCTTTTTGTAAGAGAGTTCCTGTGCTCAGGGACTTAAAATCTTATAAATATTTCATAAACTGGGGTATAAATAAAAGTGATTTGGTAGGAGGATTCACTTTATGAAAATCCACTAACCTTTAATAAGACTTATGCCATTTAAAAAATTGTTTTAATGTTTAATTTTGAGAGAGAGAGAGAGAGCGAGCGAGCGAGAGCCGGGGAGGGCAAAGGGAGAGAGGGAGACACAGAATCTGCAGCAGCCTCCAGGCTCTGAGCCGTCAGCACAAAGCCAGATGCAGGGCTCAGACTCACGGGTGGTGAGATCATGACCCGAGCCGAAGTTAGACGCTTAACCGACTGAACCACTCAGGTGCCCTGACTGATGCCATTTTCTGTACATGTGTTATACTTCAAGGAAAAGATCCCTCCAAGAGTATCTTGGGAATTCAAAATTATTTTCAGCCGAGAGAATAGGGAAATGCCTTCCCAAGGAAACTGACTTAATAGGCTTTGTGTTATATTGCTACTGAGAGTTCATCATAATCAGGATAAGGTACCTTTATTTTCCTATAAGCTGATGATATCACCATCACCATCATCATCATCATCATCATCATCATCATGATTGCTGCTGCTACATCATGCCAGTGCCACATCTGAGTTCTTTATGCAGTTTTGAGTTCTAGGTTACTATTATCGTCTCCATTTGACAAAGGAAAATTTGAGGTTACATAAGTGGTAACCTTTACATAAGTGGTAGAGCCAGGATACAAATTGTTCAGTACAGCTTATATCTCTTTTTTCTTTAATGTTTATTTATTTTTGAGAGAGAGAGTGTAAGCGGGGGAGGGCAGAGAAAGAGAGAGAGAGAGAGAGAGAGAGAGGAAGACACAGAATCTGAAACAGGCTCCAGGCGCTGAGCTGTCAGCCCAGAGCCCGATGCGGGGCTTGAACTCATGAACCGGGAGATCATGACCTGAGCTGAAGTTGGACACTTAGCCAACTGAGCCACCCAGGCACCCCGGCTTGTCTCATATAGAAAGAGTATCAGTTCTCAAAGTATGGTCCAGGAACCCTCATGGGTCCCCCAACCCTTTGTGGGGGTGGATTGGCAGTCCATAAGATCAAAACTGTATTTAAAATAATACTAAGACATTATGTGCCTTTTTCACTCTTGTTGTCTCAAGTGTGTACAGTGGAATTTTCCAGAGACAACATGATGTGTGCAATCACAACAGATATAATGCAGAAGCAGATATGAAAATCCAGCTGTCTACTATTAACCCAGACGCTGAAGAAAATTTTTTAAGTGGGAAACAATGCCATTATTGTCACAAAATTTCTTGTTTTTCAAAATACAGTTATTTTTCATGTTTTATATTATTCATGTTAACATCGAGTGGGCTTATTATTGCTTTTAGTTACTTTTTAAAATTTTTGTTTCAGTTTTTAATATATCTGTAGATACAATGCACATAAATAAAAGCACTTTGGAGTCCTCAATAGTTTATGAAGAGTGGCAAAGGGTCCTAAGATCAAGAAGTTGGAGCATCGCAGCCCCACGCTGTTCTGCTCTAGGGGAGTAACCACAGAAAATCTGGCTTTGTGGCCACCGCTGCAGCTTGGCCCACCTCTGTTTGAGGCCTGGCACTTAAAAATGTATCCTTCCTGGGGCGCCTGGGTGGCTCAGTCGGTTAAGCGTCCGACTTCAGCTCAGGTCACGATCTCGCGGTCTGTGAGTTCGAGCCCCGCATCGGGCTCTGGGCTGATGGCTCGGAGCCTGGAGCCTGCTTCCGATTCTGTGTCTCCCTCTCTCTCTGCCCCTCCCCTGTTCATGCTCTGTCTCTCTCTGTCTCAAAAATAAATAAACATTAAAAAAAATTTTAAAAAAATAAGTAAAATAATAAAAAAAAATAAAAATGTATCCTTCCTTTTCTTCTGTGAAACTGGACATACCGCCTACATCCTGGGAAAGCTGTGCGAATGAAATGAGAGGATGCCTACTACAGCCCTAGTGCCCAGTAAGCCCTCAGTTAGTGGCCTTGAACCTGGAATTGTTTTTGTGTTACCTGCAGGTGATGGACTTTTACTGCCAGTCTTGTGAGACCGCCATGTGTCGAGAGTGCACTGAGGGGGAGCACGCAGAACATCCCACAGTCCCCCTCAAGGATGTGGTAGAGCAACACAAGGCCTCACTCCAGGTCCAGTTGGATGCCGTCAACAAAAGGTGCACACACCTCCCCCTGGCTGTCTTGTGTGAGGCTTGGCCTCCCGATCTCTTGTCTCCGTGGTTTCATGCTCCCTAAATAAATTCTCCTTTGTGTGTCTGTAGTCATGAACCCCAGTGAGTGATTAGGATCACCCCCTACCCCTTGGTCAAATTCCAACGCCCTTATGTTAAGAGGGGTGGCATTTTTGTTTCAGTACCTTAGGATGATTAAGTGAATAAAATACATTCCAGGAAAATGCTCTCAGCAGATCTCCTGAAATTCATGCCTGAAACCAGGCTCTCTGAGGAGCCTTTCTTAGCTGCTCTTCTTGACATACACAGGACCATTGTGTTTACTGTCATTGGCTCCTCTCTGTTTGAGCCCAGCAAATGGTACTGATCAGTGATTGCTCGATTTTCCTTATGTTTTCCTGCTTCCAGGCTTTCTCTTTGGCATGGAAATGAGGGAACAGAGTAGCTGTGTGATACAAAAGAAAGACCAAAGAGAGCAAATAAACAACCAGCTGAAAGTAAATCTTGTCACCAATAGTTGTAATGAGAAAAGTGTGGTTATTCTATAATAATTAAAGGAACTTGGAAACTTGAAAAATGTTCTCAGGAAACTGAATTTGGATAAGTTTTTCATATGATTAGGATAAAACTAATTAGGATTAGCTATACATTTAGAACCTGGTTCTCAATTGTGGGTAATTACGCATACCCCCAGGAGACATTTGACAATGCCTGGAGACAGTTTGGTGTCATAACTTGGTGGGGGGGGCTGCTGTTGGCATCTGGTAGAAGACAGGATGCTGTTAAACATCCCATAACACACAGGCTAGTCCCCTGTAACAAAGAAGTATGTGACCTACAATATTATAGTGTTAAGTTTGAGAAGGCTTGATTCAGAGTGAGGAGAAGCCATGGGGTTCAGAGAGCCTCAAGGCTTTGTACCATCAATTAGTAAAATTAGATGACTGAACACTTGAAGTACACATGGACCCTCAGAGTCTCTTCTCTCAAAGGCAGTAATTATGTCATGTCTTATTCATTCTGTTCTTCAGTTATTACTTTTTTTTTTTTAATTTTTTTTTTCAACGTTTATTTATTTTTGGGACAGAGAGAGACAGAGCATGAACGGGGGAGGGGCAGAGAGAGAGGGAGACACAGAATCGGAAACAGGCTCCAGGCTCCGAGCCATCAGCCCAGAGCCTGACGCGGGGCTCGAACTCACGGACCGCGAGATCGTGACCTGGCTGAAGTCGGACGCTTAACCGACTGCGCCACCCAGGCGCCCCCAGTTATTACTTTTTAAAGATAATGAAAGGCAAAGAATATATTTTTTGACAAAACATAGTGTTTAGGTAGATGTTTTGCTATTTCTGGGTTGATGCTAAATAATGATCTTTAATGACTGTCCTCTAGGCTCCCAGAAATAGATTCTGCCCTTCAGTTCATCTCAGAAATCATTCATCAGTTAACCAACCAAAAGGCCAGCATTGTGGATGACATCCATTCTACCTTTGATGAGCTCCAGAAGACTTTAAACGTGCGCAAGAGCGTGCTGCTTATGGAACTGGAAGTCAACTATGGCCTCAAACATAAAGTAAGATTCCAGCCATTCTTGTAGATAATCCTGTAAGAGACATGATACCCCCGGTATTTCACTGCACCAGCTTACTGTGTTCTAAGAACAGCAAAGGGGACTTAGATGGGTCCTTAAGTGTCACTGTTTTATGGTAAACAGTAGTTTTCATTTCATGGCACACCCAGCTATTTTTTCCTTCCTCTTTCCGGCGAACTTCTATGATTCTGTAACCTTAAGTACCAATTTATGATTTGACACAAGGCAAGAATGAATATAAAGTAATGCTTTCAGGATTTAGGGTTAAATTGGATTATTTTCCTTCCTTAAGTTATAATGTCTAATAGTCTCTTAATTGCTCTCTCATCCACACCAACCTGTTAGTCAACTTCAAAGTGAACCCTGACTGCAGCCTTTAACATGTCCAGTCACAAAACCAGGGATCAAAAGCTTCTGCTATTGTGTGGAGTGTGGAGGGTGTGGAGAGTTTTGTTTGGTTTCTGTTCCTTTGGGTGGTAACAGGGGAATTTAGGACATTACAGAGAGATACTGAATAATTAATAGTTCAGATGCCAGGCATAGCAATTTGTTTTCCCGGCTCCTGGTGGTGACGTTTCTGCTTGTCCCTAGCAAAAACACATGACCCAAGAAATATGTGTGTGGGAGAGTCTGGGCAAGGCGGAAGGGAATGAGAAGGTACTGCGAATGCAATTCAGAATCACGCATTAGAAGCTGGTTCAGTGGGCCAAATTAAATACCACTTGCGGAGAACCACCGGCGGGGGGCAGGTGCAGGACGCGGTAGGCGCCCGCGGAGGGCGCTGCCCCGGCGCGCCAAGCGCGCACCATGCAGTGCGCTAAGAAGCGCTCACCCGGCCTGGCTTTTTGACCCCACAGGTCCTTCAGTCGCAGCTGGATACTCTGCTCGAGGGGCAGGAGAATATAAAGAGCTGCAGCAACTTCACCGCGCAGGCCCTGAACCATGGCACGGAGACGGAGGTGCTGCTCGTGAAGAAGCAGATGAGCGAGAAGCTGAACGAACTGGCCGATCAGGATTTCCCGCTGCACCCGCGTGAAAATGATCAGCTGGATTTCATCGTGGAGACCGAAGGGCTCAAGAAGTCCATCCACAACCTCGGGACGATCTTAACCACCAACGCCGTCGCCTCCGAGACGGTGGCCACGGGCGAGGGGCTGCGGCAGACCGTCATCGGGCAGCCCATGTCCGTCACCATAACGACCAAGGACAAAGACGGGGAGCTGTGCAAGACCGGCAACGCCTACATCACGGCGGAGCTGAGCACGCCCGACGGCAGCGTGGCGGACGGAGAAATACTCGACAACAAAAACGGCACGTACGAGTTTTTGTACACTGTCCAGAAGGAAGGGGACTTTACCCTCTCTCTGCGACTCTACGACCAGCACATCCGAGGCAGCCCGTTCAAGCTGAAGGTGATCCGGTCGGCCGACGTGTCTCCCACCACCGAGGGCGTGAAGAGGCGCGTTAAGTCCCCAGGGAGCGGCCATGTCAAGCAGAAAGCGGTGAAGAGACCCGCGAGCATGTACAGCACTGGGAAACGAAAAGAGAATCCCATCGAAGATGATCTGATCTTCCGAGTGGGTAAGGAGAAAGCATCGCCGCGCCGGTGCCTGAGCGTTGCTTTGGTGACGGGGCAGCTGGGAAAGTGTTGTTGCAAACGGGAACGTTGCAGGTCAGGGCTTGTACCTGACCGTGTTGGGAGACACCGGTGTATGTTACGGGGTGAGCTTATTCAGCCTTCTTCTTCGGAGATTTTATGATTGATTTTCCCCTTCTCCTCCCTCCTTCTCCTGCCCTTTTTTCTTTGTCTTCTGCCTCCCTCTTCCCCTCCTTCCCTTCCCCCTTGCCCATTAGCCTCTCTCCCTTCCTCCTTCTCCCCCCCAAGTCTTCCCCACCCAGTCTTTTTCTCCTCCCTTGTTCAGCTCTTTTCCCCCTCTCTCTCCACCTCCCCCTCGTCCCTAAGCCTCCCCCTCCTTCCCCCTCCTTCCTCCTCTCCCCCCACCCCTCTCCCCATTTTCTTCGCTCCTCCTACCTTCTCCTCCTTTGTAACACAAGTGCTACAAATTAATTGTCGAGAATTAGAAGCCGAAAATAAGCGAAAAGAGAAATAGAAAAATCACAGTACTCACAATCTGGAAGTTTTAAAGGAAATGTTGGCAATCTCACCCCCACCCCCACCCCTCCATAGGAATGTCTTTAGAGTGCTCCTCCCTAACCCAAAGGCAGAGGGATCATTGATTGTTGTATCAGATAACTTCATTGCTTCTCTGACATATGCCAGCTCTGGCTGCGCTGTGGGCAGAACGTCTGATGCCTCCCTATCACTGTTTCTGCAATGTAAGGGCTGGGGGTGCGGGGCTGGATGCATTGCAAGTTGTGGTCACTTTCAGCTGGGTGTAGCTGGAGAGCAGCCCCAAAGAGGGGAGGGTGGGTGGAAATCTGGAGAATGGAATGGGGTTGGGGCAGAAGCATGAGGTTTTAGGATAAGCCAATAGATTTTGAGAATGCAAATCTCAAATTCCCTTGTTTGGTTTGTTGCCTCTGATTTTTTTTTAACTGTTTATTTTCTCAGTAGAAAGCAGACTAAATGTAAACATCAATGGCCTTTGTAATTCTTAAGAAAAAAGCCTGCATTTTAGTTAATGTTTCCAAAAGTAGCTCCATCCTGTTTATCTATCTGCTTCTTAAGTCCTGCGTTGCAACACCTCTTAAGAGGTGCTGCCCAGTATATTAACTGACACACCTTGCCTCTGGGTCAAGTAGATTGGGGAGACCTTGGCCTCATTGAAGGAAAGAGCCTTTTTTTTTTT